GAGGAAGGACAATTAAAGCCAGGAAGTGTTGACACGGCATGTATGCTTGGGACTGTATGAATTTTGTGTACACAAAACAAGTTCTGTGATCTTGGGTTAAAGTATATTTTTATAGAAGTAGATAATGGAGACTAGGTGGAAAAGGCTGGGAGATGAATTAAGACTATGTAGACTTGTTCTACTATATGTAGTCTCCATGTTCCTCTTACAGTCTTGAGGGGTAAATTGTGGGATGCTGGTTCCACCCCTGGTAAAAAGTGAAGGGTAAAGAGTGCCTATATTTAGGGTGTCTATACCTACATACATTCTAAACATAAAGTAATAATTCACACATAATTTTCTATCTTGAAATGCCCTGACTTTGAAATTCAAGGAATTTCTACAGCTAAGCAAAAAAATAGTTTTACTTCCGCCCAAGTCACCCAAAGATTCTATATACAATGACAACTGACTTGGCAAAGAGAGGCGATCTTCTCATCTGCATCGGCCATTGGATGTTCTGTAAAAGTAGCATACGGGACGTTTGAGGACCATGGGTTCCATCTATTGATGAAGGAAGCACGACTTTGCTTATCCCATTGAATTCTAATTCCAATGCCTTCCCGCCTGAAAAAGGGAGAGATTTCATGTGTGCTTGCTCAAACAGCTTGAGTGCTGGCAACAGATTTCATGCAGTTTTAAAGTGACAGTTAAAACAGCCATGACTGTATTATTGCAAAACCTACTGCAATCGGTTTACAGGCCAGTTTCATGTTGTACTGTAATTGAAGATATAGGTAAGCTGGTAATATAGGTAAACTTGGAAAGCACTGGCGTCAGAACTGTGTAGAAAGCAGTTTATATCTTCACTATCCCCTAAAGGGCAGAAGCTACTGTGTCTCACTCCTAAGGATTACAAGTCATATACTTTGCACAAGACATTCCCCACTCCCCCGCCCCACCAACAACATACTTATTCAACATACTTATTCAGTGACTTTGGAGGAAACTCAAATTCTCCAATTGAAATTGTATCAACTGCATTAAGTAGTATTCTGGTCACTTGTTGGCACTGCAGGCTGATGAAGTCGTATTTACAGATCAGAAGGGACCAATCAGTGATAAGAACCAATCGCTCCTTCTCATTGTTCCAATGATCAATTCTGGGGAAGAA